TGCACTAACAAACCTTGTGTGTGATACAGGATGGACGTGGAGAAAGGGAAGATTGAAGACACAGGAGGCAGCGGTGGCTCTTACTCAATTAAAACACAGTTTAACTCTGAGGAGCAATGGACAAAAGCACTAAAATTCATGTTAACTAACCTGAAGTGGGGCCTTGCCTGGGTCTCCTCCCAGTTCTATAACAAGTAATGGTGGCCAGAGCTTGTCCTGGCAGCTGTGCAGTGTCTGTGTTGCGTTGGGAAAGGCAAATTGTCTCTTAACATTACCCAGTACATGTTTACAATACCAAAAATCCACGAGACACTTTATTTAAAATACCATTATTACAAGTAGTTTATAGAAAAGCAATATGCAAAGCTGTGTCACTGAGCTGAACAGAATAAAACTCAGCTGTTCAAGAGATGCTGAACTGGTACTTTTGGGGTAAAGCACTGTCGACCCGGAACAGCCACAAGCAATGCTGCTCTGCCACAACCCACGCAGGGCTGGAACAGCAGAGCATGGCAAATACAGCGAATAAGGTGGGAAAACTGCCAGAACTCTGCCTGGTCCTTAAAAAGTAACTATAGTTTGAAATAAAGTATTTTCTAAGTCATATCAGCACTTCGTTGTGCCCCTGAATTAACAAGGTTTGATACTGCTTAAAGCACTTTGTAATTTCTCCTGGAGCTGGAGCTGCCCGGAGAGAACCACACCCGGCATGCTGTGATCCACGCCTGCCTGGCACAGCTCAGGTCCTTGGCACTCAGGGACGCTCTGCCAGGACACCTGCTGTGGTGGCAGTTGTAGTGCTGGCAAGATTGTGTCCTCTGCACAGCTGTGGTCACTGCTGGCTGTGACAGGGCAAGAGCAAAGAGGCTTTGAATGGTGGCAGAGAGGGAACAGCCATAGCAGCCTAAGGCAGGCAGGGGTTTATAACAGCAGCAGGTGGAGACAGCACAACCCTGTCTAACGTGGATGTGAGAGCTGCTCGCAGCACCAGGCATAGCAGCACCTTTCAAACACAACTGCTCTGAGAGGTCTCTAGTGAAAGGGAACTTGAAACTTAAAAGATGCAGCTCTCAAAATAAAGCTTTTGGGGCCCAAACAGGCATTTCTAAACCTGCTGTGGTGCTGTGCAGTGTCTGGCAGAACCCAGGGTAACTTCAAGCTGCACTGGGCATTACTACAGGGGAGGGACTGTCAGCAGGGTGACGATTCTGCTGCTGTGAGAGGTGTTTCTATCTCAGAGGCACAATCCTGCCCTCAGAAGCTTTGGTTCCACAGCTCTCATGGTGCTGCTCTGGTGTGGCACTGCCCAGGATGTGCCTCAGCACTGCATAAGAGAACTCCAGGATGCTCTGTGTAGTGATGCCAGTGATGCAGTTCAAATGCTCCACAACCTGGAGGAAAGGAAAGACAGTGCCTGGGGGCCATGGGTTTACAGACTAATGAGAGCAACTGCTCCGTGGGCACATTCACAGGGAGTTGTGCCATGGGATTCTGTCTCTGTCTGCCAGGGGAACACAGCCTGGGAGGTTTGTTCTGACTGCGAAGTTCTGAAGGATGTGCTCACACCAGTGCCAGCACACACTGCACATGGAACCACCTCTGTGCCCCACAGCTCTGACTGAGGCTCCTGTGCTGCCTACTAAAGCCCTGGGAGATGTGCCCTCCCTCACACCACCTGTGCAGCCCCAGCTGTCTCCTTGCTGTGCTGACACAGGCAAACCACCTTGGCACCGTGTCTTTGTAGAGCCAACGCATTCAGCAGTCACTGTACCTGCTCCCAGTGCCCAGGGCTCAGGATGAACACACCCGTGCTGATGATCCCCACAGCCAAGAGCATGAAGTCTTCCTTCACTGTCAAAAACTTTGCTCTGCAGAAGGAAAAGTTCAGGTGTAAAGTGCTGCTTCTCAGTTCAAAAGCACCTGCTGCTGCAGTCACCATGGCCCAGGATGTGTTGGCTTGCTCAGGCCAACCAGGGGATGGAACTGGATTTTCACAAACAAGGGAAACACTTGCCTTGCCCAGAGGCAGCTGTGGAGGAGCACATTGCTCTGAACTGATGTATTAATGCTGAAAACCCCCAAAATTAATTTTTAAAAACATGTCCCCAAAAGGCATAATGGGAATTATGCTGCTCTTTATTGGCTTTTTTTAAGGGCTTTTGTGTCAGATGGCTATTTTAAATCCTAGGTAGGACCCTTACACCTGCAGCTTGCTTGGTGTGAAGTTCTCAATGGCAATCTTCAGCAAGGTGTCATAGATGGTGTCCCTGGTCAGGTAGCAGAAGTCCATCAGCTGCACACACACCTGGTGCAAGGGCTTAGCAGGAAGCAAACAGCCGTTGTGTCCTGCAGAGATCACAGCATCAGCCCATTTTGGGTCAACAGACTGAATTAGGAGTATTGGTACTGCAAGGCAGGGACAGAAGTTTCTGAGGACAACTGCCCTGTCTGGGCGCCACAGGCTCCCTCAGTGTCATTTCACTCACTCTGAAACTCAGGTGGTCAGACCTGGGCCAAGAAAACAGTGAGTGGTTGTAGGGAATGTGGTTGCACACCAGGCTGGGGGTTTAAACCCTAAATGCTTTACTGAATGAGCTATGACTTGCTGTGCAAGGTCACATTCTACAGAGGACAAAGTTCTCATTCGAGAAGGGAAGCCTTGAGCAACCTGAACATTTCCATGTGCAAAAATCTGCAATGTGAGAGCTTTTGGTGCAGATCAGCAACAGCTCTGCTGCCCTTCTGAAAATCCTCCTTCCCATTCTCTCCAGTGGATACTCTCACCCAAAACCTCCAGCAGCAACTCCACATAGGCCAAAGGCGTTGATATATTGATGTGGAAGTTCAGAGTGTTCAGGACAGCAAGCTCTGACTCCAGCAGCTCCTGCTTGGTGTAGGAGTATTTCAAGGACTGCAGGAACTTAAGGGCTCTGTCACTGGTCACCCTCTGAAGAAGAGAAAAAGAGACAAAACCTCCTGCAGGCAATGAGGCACTTGCTGGTAACAAAGTGCTCCCTCATTATCTCCTCCCGCAGCTCAGCCATGTCCCCCGAGCTGCATCAGAGCTCCAACTCAGACCTCTCCACAGCTTCCCTGACTCCATGCACCATCCCCAGGCAGCTGTGAACCCCTAGAGTCAAGTTTTCCTGCCCAGCACTGGGATCATTCCCCAGCAATTTGCCTGCCCTGAAGGGAGTGTCATGTCCTTTGCATTCCACTGTCACTGTTATTCTTCAGAGAGCAAATCTGTTTCCAGTGAGGTGAACACACTGCAGAGTTTACCTCACTGCTGAGACAAGCACAGGCTGAGCCCCTGCTGCTTACAGTGTAGTGCAGGGAGAATTTGCTGGCAAGCTGCATGCACGACACGAGCCGCAGGACAAAGGTATTGACTATCTGGTCCCTCACGGACCTCCAGCTGCTCCCTGGTCCTTGGCCATGGCTTCCAACACCGCGTCTGCAGGACTCACACAGCTGCTCCACCTGCCTGATCATAAACCTGCAAAACACACCTGCTCAGGGAACAGTTCCTTCTGCTAAGGATAAAGGAAAAGCAGCTCCATGTGTTCTCAGAGTACACACAGAGCTAATGATATGGATGAAATGGGTGAAGAGACACAGCTCTTGGCACACACAGAGGTGGTTTGGGTGAGGGGCACAGGGTGGGACAGAGTATGGGCAGCGTGACCACATCAAAGAACTGTACAAGGTGTTCTGGACTCGCTACCTCTCAAGTAACTCCACTGCTTGGTACTTCGTGGACTGGTCCAAGTGCCATTTTTCAGACAGGATGAATATAAACTCTGCAAGAAGCACGACAGTCACTGAGTGCAGCCTGAGCTCCCTGCACAGCCATCACTGCCTCCAGAGCTGCCAGAGCCTCACCCACGATCCGAGCACCCTTGAAGGCCCCAGCCTGCCATGGCAGCTCGCCCAGGTACTGCTCGTTCTCTGTGGCCAGATGGATTAGCGCGTCCTCGATGACCTCAGCAGTGACCCCACTGAACACGGGCCCTGGCTCATGGGACCAGGACTGCGCTGGCTCTGGCGACACCATTTGGCAGGTCGGGCCTGGGGCTGGGACTGGGGCACGGACTGGGACAGGGTCTGGACCTGGGGCAGGGACAAACACCAGCGCCGGTACCGGTACCGGCTCAGCGCCACGCTCTGACTCGGCTCCCGTCGGTGCCGCCTCAGCACCCTCTCGGTCACGTGAGACGCTGCGGCCAGTCAGCAGGCGCCG